GCTTTGTCCTTGCCTCGAAAGAAAGGATGACCGTGAGAGTTTTTTAGGATACGAATCATCATGTCACGACCAGGATGCCCTAGTCGATCATGCCAAAGTCTATATCGTTCAGTATCCCTTATGTCATCATGACTTATAGAATAAGATTCAATTATTCGAATTGTAGTGATATACAGTCCACTACTCTTACCCTTAAACTTCTCTAAGATGCGCTTTCTTCCGCATTCATTAGAAGTAATGTAAAGGTATTCAATACCATTCTCGCAATGAGTTTCAACATGAAAACCATTGTCACGGATGTCTTTGAAACTTAACAACGTTCAAGTAGCTCTAGGTGCATATAGAGCATTTATGGCTTTAATCAATGTACCATTAGGGAGTAAGAAAATGGCAGTACCACGTCCCTGAATTACATGTGACGAACCAATCATTGTTGTCACAGATGAATTATAGGCTACCAAGTTAACAAAGAGTTGCCTATTTCGCAAGATGGTATGGGTAGTCCCACTATCTATTAAGCACTCAAGTTCACCTCGATTCATGCCTGTGTAATGAGAGAATTGCATATAGAACTGAAACACACGATGTATATAAAAAATAGAGGCATAAATCCCTTAATTTATTTAAATTGAATGCAAATTTAAAACAATTCCACATAGTCTAAAAACACAATAAATAGTCTTTAAAACACTCTTAGGAAATTTGCAGAAACATAAAAGGAATTATTCCAAAAACATCATGCATGGAGAGAATGAAGGAAGTCTAGCAAACAGATTTCATTCCATTGCACATTCAATTCTCCGAGCAGAGTATCATGAATGTTCCCAAAGCGTCCCTTAATGGCACCCCACTTTTCTTCGGGGGTTTTCATCTGAAGATATTCCCAACATAAACTTGGGTCAATGTGTCGCCTTAGGAACATTAAAGCATTTGCTTTCACTTTTTCAGATGGTGCATCTTTCAATTCACTGGGGTCTTTAAGTGTGGCAGAGAAGTCTTTAGCCACGAAAGGCATTTCTACATCAGAAAACCCATCGATGGTACTCAAGTCCTTCTGAGTCCAAGATGTCAAATTCAAGTCTAGTGGGACCAGTCATTTCTAGATAAAGTGCAAATAAACAATCATAAGTAAATTCAGATCTTGAAAATGAGAGTTTTTTTTCATATAATTCATGCTCTCTCCTTTTTGCTATATACGAAATTTCTTAATCAAAACCAATATGTACTAGTCACAGAACTCAACTAGTTTTGAGTTCAATTAGTCAATGTATGATATTACTTTTATGCAAAATGCAAGGCTAGCATTACTCCATAAAAAAAATGTCCTCATTAAAATTTCAAGAACATACGAGGAATAAATTGATGTTTGAACAAGTATGAATTAAACATCAATATCAAAATGCGTATGATAAAAACTTATGCACATGTACGAAAGATGGTAGATTTACGTTTATGCAAAAGTCATCAGAGAAGGAATTTGCACAATATCTTTCAAGAACTAATAGTTCTTCATTATTATTATTATTAGCCCAATTAAAAAAAACATTTCCATTGAAAGTTTCAAAAAAAAAACTTTTTTTCTTTTTTTTTGAAACTGTTATAGAGTTTTTTTCTTTGGTTGTGCTTTTTATAGAATGTAATTTGACAGAATGCAATTGAAATGGTGGCCTTCAATTTTACCGAAAAAAAAACGGCAAAGGTACTTTAAAAAAACTGATGGTTGGGAGTGTCAACATGAGGGCAAGTTGCATGATTATACATGACCAAAAAAAATGGGATCTCTGCCTAAATGAAAAGTTTAGTGACCAGCATAAGAACTATGAAATAGAAACACATGAAAGAGAATTTAAGGTCAATACGAATCATGACCCATAGGCCAGTACAAGAATTTAAGCTGATAATGTGATAATGTGATAATGTGTTGTGGGAGATGTGTATTTCTCTATTGATAATATCTCCCTTATATAGAATTTACTTTATATAGGGTTTTACAAGAGAAGACCCATAGGCCAGTACAACTTATTACACAATATAAAGTAAATTCTATCTACACAACAGCACACTAATTTACAAATTCCTTCAACAATTACACAAATGATATGGGTAAATCAACTTAATCAAGTGTACATTATTATTTGTACATTAGAAACCAGATTATGAGAACAAAAAAGTTGGTATTTATTTTAAAAAAAAACATTTGTACAACATGGTGTACACAATGTACAAATACCATTTTTTCAAACTTTTATTTTTCCAGCGGGCCGGTTCATGTGACATTGAGCTCAAAGTCATAGGATGATCCGAGCCTCCTATAGACTCAGTTGGTCAAATTGATGATTCCTACCCCCTTCCCCCACCCCTAACCCCCGCACCCCGCCCCCCCCCCCCCTTTGCCGATTGGCTACAGTGGTCATTGCAGCCAATTGGCGAAGGGAGGGCGTATGGTGCGGGGGCAGGGGGGTTTAGAGTGGGGTTAGGGGTAGGAACTATCAATGTTTCCAACAGAGCCCTGGTCGGGTTATTCTATGACATTCAGCGCCAATGTCACATGAACCGTGGTGTTTTTTTCAGTCAACAACAATAGCTTAAGTTTTATATCTGAGGAATGGACCTTTCATGGCAATCTCCATCCACGATCTGCAAGTGCATTTATCACAGCGCCAGCAGCCTCTTTGGTATCATTCAGAGGAGAATATGTCCACCTCTCTGTAGATATCTGAGTGATGAACACAGTTAGTGGGAGAACTCTCATTTTCAAAGTCCTCACACTCCACAGACTAACAAAGCATGTGAACAAAGCAACTTACATTTTCTTTTCCCGTGAATGGACGAACCATGTTTCGCTCGCGAAGGGATCTGTGGAACTCTGTAAACTTCCATGTGCATCGCTCAGCCCCAATCACATAAACTGGCTTCCTGCATCCATGTTTGGTTTACTTAATGAAGAAGATGATGTGGCTTAAACCTTTTGCAATGCAAGTAAAAACTACATGGTTCATCAGTTTTTATGGTGTTTGACAGGTACAATAGCAATAACAAACCCTGTATAATCACAACTACGTTGTGGTCTAGCGGGTCAAGATGTATGCAACCTTACCATTATACAAGAGATTGGTTGTTTTCGATAGACCCTTGATGCATTGATGCATTTACTTCCCAAAACTTCATATAAAATAAGAAGGGTTGTTTAACATGCCATTTTATCTCCATTAGCAATGGACAATGGTGTTTGACGGGTAATTATCTACTCGTTGTCCTGATTTAGTTGTCCACTTTCTTGTTTCCACTTGTGTGGAATTAGTTGTCAACTATCCATGTTCAATAAAGAATTTATGATGAATTGTCTAAAATATCCCAAACATAGAGTATGAGCATTGTTAACATGTGAGAGTATTTAAGAGTGTTGTGTAAGATACATGTGGCCGAAATGGTACAAGATACATGGTACCACTGTACCAGAGTATTACACTAATGAGTTTATTGTTAGAATGAGTGCCCAGCACTAGAGAGGGGGAAACAAAAGGGTTGAACTCATGCATTCCAACATTTAGGTTTCTAAACTTTACAATACAATGGCATATAGTTGAGGTACCATAATATAAATTACCATAGAAAAAGTCTAAAAATGGATTCTACCGTTCAGAAACTAATTAAATCCTAGTATCCTACAAGCACACCGCCACATGCCTATGGAAATCTTGATCTTTATCATTCCATCTCAAAATTACAGTTCTAACTTTTAGTTTTGATGCTCAACTCAGAACCATAATTATGTCAAACACCCTTTTAGGCATAAATAAAACAGGCAGGGAAGGAAATTTGAAAACCAAAGACAAAACCTGACAGAATGGGCCTCAAACTATGATCGACACACATAGGGCATACCCGGTACTGCAAGCCTCACTCAACATGCTAATTGAGTCAGCCGTGATGACAAATGAATCTGCCAAGGCTAAATGTCCCATATGTGGATTTGGACCTGAACAACATGATGTCAAGTTCTGTTCAACGCAAGGCTTCACATTCCATTATTTATCATCATTGAGTGAACTGGGTGGGAATTGATGAACATAATAATAGTGATACCTTCCCCACTCCAAATGTAAACTTTAGGATGATTTCTTAGTTTGCATACTATGAGATCTGCAACCTGTTTGCAACAGCATTAACAAGAATCAGCACATGGAAAATTGACGAATGATGTGTCTGTTTCGCCCACTGAACTGAGAAGATGATAGCTAGACACTGAATGCCAATAACAGGGAAACTGGTTGGAAATGCTTGATAAAATTACTTGTATAATAGATGATGAGATTGATGACAACAACAATGCTATGTGCAAAGAGATATATAAGATGCATTTCATGTATCAGTAAAAGATGGATGAGAGATAATGTGTGACTTCAGGGTGAAAAATCAGTGAGTCTATGGGTGAAGAGGTTCATTAGTGTAAAAAGGGCATTTCCATAAGTTTCAGATGCTAATATGCTATGGGTGATATATATTCTTTTCTTCACAAAGGGGCTTATTTTGAGCTCCTATTTTGTTCACAAAGCATCATACTTGGCTTATTTAGAGCTTAAAATAAGCAATAGTCTCCTTAAATAAGCTCTACCATACACACACACAAGCAAGACAGTCAAGCCTACCATCTTGGGAGTTCTGCGTGAAAAAGAAATTCTGACACTACCACAAGTTGGGAGAACATTTTGCAGTGATGATATTAGCTCATTTGCCAGGTCTTCACCGTATTTACAATGAGCTGTATAACAAATTGTTAGGATATAGGAGGAAATTGGGCACACTAGACGTCAGTCAAACTAATATATGTGCATTCCACTTATGTAGATACAGACATGCAAACAAAAAAACTACACAGATTAAAAATAGTGTGTGTGTGTGTTTATTGCAGATTAAAAATAGCATTTCCTGATTGTTTTAAATTCCAAGAAGTTTATTTCTTTTTTACTTCTTAAACTTCCTATACATGGGATTCTTCACAAAAACAAGCTCTATTCTCCTAGATAGAGATAAGGTTTGCGTACATCTAAACCTCTCCAGACCCAACTTCTGAGTGGGACATACTCGGTACGTTTGTTTAGATTCACCTACACAGATTGCATTATACTGGCATATACAGCAACAAACCATCCTTTTTAAGACAACAAGATCAGTAAATGAATACAACTTCGACTCATGCTTTCCACAAACAGATGAACTGAATTGCAGGCCTTAATCACACTTTATAAAGAAGAATGTGCACAAAATTTTTTAGTGTAAGTAGGTCATTATTTCTGCTATTCTGTAACAAGATTTAATCAAGAGTAACATAATGAAATTTGGATGCACAAAGCTTGCCAATAGATCCTTCAATGTTCATCACAACTTACCAATAGGTCCCCCAATGTTCACAACAAGCAAGGGTTTTGGCAGCAGTCCAATTTCATCATGCCATGCAGAAGCAGCACTTTGCAGTGAGCTAAAATCTACCTGATGAAGGGATCCCAAAGTGAGGACCTGCATTTTTTTAAATCTTATGAGGGCTGAACTGAAGTGGTAGTCAACTAGTTTCTACATAATCATGGTATTAAATGAACTACTCTAAAATATTTCCAAGCAATGATTTATGTTTTGCAACTATTATATTGCAAAATAAGAAGAAAAACATACCACATGCCCTTCTGGAGGGTTATAAGGTGTTATCCACCTTCGAATAAGTGAAGGAATCTGCTTTTGCCCCTCAGGTGTGAATGTATAATAATCATGTCGAGGTGTGATGACAAGATCAAACCTACTAAGATGTGACCTGGGGTGTTGTATCTGGAAGCAAAAGAAACAACATTTCAATTCTCGAAGCTTAGCATAAATTAAAAAGAAGAAAAAATTAGAAGAAAAAAAATAATAGTATGGGCTTGGTATGCACTTCATTTTAGTTCAGAAATAAATTAAGTATACCGATTCATTGATGTCACATGAAATTTTTCATGCAAGGGAAACTTATAGTGTTCATTCAATAAATAGTTGCGACAGGAAGGGCATCTCATGTAAAACATTGCTACTATGCTTTTTGGGATTAAGGTGGTTGTGGTGGTGATCAAATAGCACGCTATTGATTCATCAACCTGGACAAGAAAAACATTTTCTGGTGCTAACCGCTTTATGGAACTTGCAGTGGAAATAGTATCTCGTCCTGATGCAACCACCAACATAGGTCCCTCCCTGAAGATGTTACAAAATGAAAGGCAATGAATGGAGATGATAGAGCCATACAATAATAATAAAATATTGTGTTCAATAAAACTGGTAAGGTGAAAAAAAGATATTTAGAAAAAGCATCTTTGAGAATTTTTTCAAGCTGTGAATCCTAAAAAAGTGTTAGATGCTAGACAAGACCCCAGCCTTCAATCAACATGTACAAAATAATGTTTTTATAGAAAAAATTGTTTGGTTACCAACAGGTATTCATGGAGTATATAGAGAAAGGACTATTTATTCCTTGGTAAAAGAATATGTGTTGAATAAAGACAGAGAAATTCATTGTTTGGTTGCTACTAAGGTAAGGCCAAAATTGTTGGGAATAAATATTCAATTGTTTGGTTACCTTTGGAATAATTAAGGAATAAGTAGTATAAATACCAAAGTGACCCTATATCATTTTTTCTTGAATAACTATGTGTATTTTTAAGGTAGATTAGTCGAACGTATTCATGTTTTTCTTCCTAATAGCAACGGAAGGATTATTTTTTCTTCAAAAAGAAGCAAAAAAATATTCCGAGGAAGACCAGCTCTTAACCTACCAAACAAAAGGAAACTCCTTTATCCAGAATAAACAAAGAAAGGAAAAGGCTCTCCATCCAGCCAAACAACCTTATAAAGTACAAGACAAAAAAAATGATCCGAGCACATACTTCTCAAATGTTTCATGAGCAGCTCTAGCAATATACTCAGCATCAGCTTCAGCAATACCTGAAACAACAGTTCAGTTGAAATTTTCAAATGTATCACATTCACATAGCATATTCAGGCTTTATTCAGTACATACCGACCTGTTTGATTAGCAGGAAAACCGGTCACCTTATTCCATTTGTAACAAACCCGTGGCTGCAAATCCCCGTGAATCCACTTCATGGCATGCTCTAACTTTTTGTGGAGAGAAACCGGCAACCAACGAAGCCTATCGTTAATTCCTCCCCGAGGCCTAGTGACTCTCTGCACAGGCATAGCATGCTTGGTAAAAGGTTAACTTAAAAATCAGCTGAACATTTTTTTGCAAACTGATGTTTATATCAATGATGATGATGATGAAAACTCGCATTAAGTTAGCAGCTGAAAACCAATCATGGAGGTTCCAATCAAGCATTAAGAGGGTGTTTAATGTGTTCAACCCAATCAAGTTTTCAAGAAAGTATCATGAAGAGCGGATTTCCATTTATTTGCATCTCTCTATTTCACTATAATCCTCCCTTTATACACATTGCTTCTATCGTGGACCTAAGAACCACCTTATACCTAAGTTCTACCATGGACCTTGTCACAAATCAATAAAATAACATACAATAAAAAACTCAATACAGATTCTTATAACAATTCATTGCTTGCATCATCAAAATGTCCATGATTCTCATAAGAATTAACCCTTAGATCCATATAAGAATTTACGGGAGCGTGTTACCAACTATCATCACCATGTTACAGAATCTATCGAGAGGGAAGTTTCTTTTCTAAAAAATTTCAATTATCAAAGGCACTCTTTGTTATAAGCTTATTCACTCAGCTCAGCTAAATGCACCTTAAGACACGAATTTAAAAAGTTGAAAGAAATTGAAATTTGAAAAAAAAATAAAGTGAAATGGATGAGCAGAGGCTCGTACGTAGAGAGTATGGCGACGGGATAGGCCGAGAGCTCGAAGTAAGCCGAGGCACTGATTCTCTGCGCCGGCGACGCCGTTTCCGATAACCACTGCTTTGCTAACGGCTCGCATTTAGCTCTGTCTGCAATTCGAAATCAAATTCAAAATGACGGGGTCACTGGGTTTTGGAATCGGAATTTGGAAGTGGCTTTGTCGTAGGGCATCTCCCCTAGCAGTGTAGAGAAGAGTATACTTTCTTCCTCATACTATCATACTAATGAAGTGCACAAGAATGAAGAAAGTTTAGTAACCAAGCCTTTGATTTCCATGCTTAGGCCATATTATCTTCTTTCCAAACTCATAACTTTTGAGTTATCTAATTAAAATGTCATCTAATTTTAATAAAAAAAATAAAAACATAAGTTGAGATAACATGACTTTACTCTCAAGATTTTCAATTAAATCCATCCAATAAAAATTAAATATTGTGTAATCAATAATCATTATTTTTAAAAAATAATTTAGTTTTAACTATTTTGTAAGAAAAAAACAATCCTCTCCGCTTGAAAGAAAACCAATCATTAATTATGTCTACTTATATAATTTTATATTGTTATGCTTATATTTTTATTTTATGTAATTTTAGATTTTTTTTGTTTCAAATTCTTTTAACAATTTTATATTTATATTTTTTATGTTTCACATTCTCTTAAGGATTAACTAAAATGGAGTGATTATACATTTTATTTATGTCTACTTATATAATTTTATTTGTTGTGCTTTTAATTTTATTTTATACAATTTATATTTTATGTGTGTTTACATAAATGATTTTAATGAGATACACTCATTATATTTTATGTATTTTGTATGTGTTAACTTTATATAATTTTCTCTAATTTTATGTTGTTCATTTTTTTGATAGTTAATTAAATTTATAAACAAATTTGGTAGAAAAATTGCTTTATAATACAGTTATATATTATATAACTGATTAAATAGAAATAAAAATTAGTATAATAAAAGGTAATGGAATGCTGATGTAACAAAGTCTGAAAGAGTTTATGAATTGGAAAAAAAATTCTATAAATTTGAAGAAGAGTCTAAAATATCAAAATGCTGATGTGGCAAAGTTTTAAAAAGTTTCAAGACTACTTGGACCAGGGATGCCCTAAGTATCTACCATCTATATTGGTTCTCATTATTATAGGTTAGCATTAATAAGATTATAGATTATTATCTAAGACATAAATATAAAGATTATATTTTGATTTTTTTATTATTTCTTTATTTTTATGCTTATTTTAGTCTTTCTCCCTAATAATTTGAGAAAATAAATGAATTTGAGTGTCACGCTAACCTCAAAATCATTTGGAGACATGATAAAATATGAATTCTGAAATCTGGAATAAATAATATGATTTTGAAATCTGAATGAAAAGTATTTGGTGAGCAATTAATTAGGAAAACAAATGCAGAATACAAATGTTGAACAATGTTTTAATATGAATATATTATATTCGTTAAAATGTAAAATAAGGTTTTATTTGTAATTTCTGTTAATGAAATTTTATTATTTTCTTAATTTTGTATTATTATGTTTTTGTGAATACGGAAAATTTTTTTATAAATTGTTACACATTTAAAAAAATATTAGGTCACATCAAAAGTGAATGGATAAAATTCATTTCAGAGACAAATATTTTAGAGCACATAATTTTTTAAAAGAGAAAAAAATCAAAACAAACAAAAAATTACTCAAAGGAAAATAATAAGTAGGAAATCAAAACCCATATTTGAGGGAATTGAGGCTACCTAAGAAATCGGTTGCCGCTTAAGAATTGAGATCCTGTAACATATGCGGAATTGAAATGGAGGATATCTCTAGATATCAATGTAACGGTACTATTCCGTGTTCTCAAGATCCCCTTCTAGCAGAAGCAATAGCAGTTAGAGAGGCTTTGGCTTGGTTAAAGAGAGAGGCATGCTTGGAGGTGCAGCTTTTTTCTGATAGTTGGATGGTGGTGAATGCCATCAACCACGCCACCGATTCTCGCTCGTACTTTGGTTCGATTATTGAGGAGTGTAGGCTATTTTTATCTTCTTTCCGTTCAATTTGTATCTCTCATGTTTGTCGAGATTTGAATGGTGTTGCTCATGTGTTAGCCCGTCGAGCGGTTGCTCAACGTGGGGTTTGGGAATCTGTTCCTCCAGACTTTATTGTTTCAAACTTTAATTAATGTGATTTTTTCCTTCAAAAAAAAATTGATATATCCGATATCAAATCACGTACGTGTTTTCCTCACCAAACAGGTCCTTAAAAAGTCCATGACAAAATAGGAGATGAAAACTCCTATATTGTCCTACATGCCGGAACATTTTTAACCAATTAATGAACAATATAATTTAATGACCTCTTAATAAAATGGAAAATCATATAATCAAAATGATCCAAAATCAAAGAACAATCCTCCAAAAGTGCACCAAAATAGGAGGGACATGATGAAAGATCATGTCGCTTCAAAGCACCAATTATTTGAAGACACTCTTCTTTTGTATTTGAATTTCAAAGTTGAATGTTGGATAAAACTAAAAAAAGTTGGAAGAAATATAAAGGAGTAAGAAATGTTGAAAAAATTAAAGTGTTAAAAAGTCACTCCATTAAATGATCATCCAAATAAATATGTAGGAAATCCTGATTTTGAATAATAAACAATTTATCCTTATATGTGTTTGAGACTTTGAAGCGATATGTTATAAATTTGAATATATAATATTACTATATATTCATCATATATAAATATATTTTTAAGTCGTTGTTGAAATAAACTGAAATGAGTTGGAAGGACTACAAAGAATTGGAATAAATTATAATGAGTTGAAGTTAATTTTTCCAACACAAAAGAACAAGGCTGAAGACAATCTGAGAAAAGATGAAATCACAAATGGAAAGATAGTTTTGGGACGGAGGGAGTAGTTGAAAAGTTTTTGAAAAAGAAAATTTAAATATAACCCGCTATCACATGTCATAATAAGTTATGAATTTTTTTTGAGAAAATTAATAAAATACATAATTAGATTATTCTAAAATAACATGCAGGTGAGATTATTTTAAACCAACGAGTAATAGTTTGGATTATTTTTATCAATTTTCCATTTGTATGGAGTATAAATTCTCAACAACCGGTCTCGGCCTATCCCATGCCTAGGGATGGCAATTCAACATGAACCCGATCTTAACCGATCCGACCGGCCACTAAAATATCCGAACCCGAATTGAGAACAAAATGTTCTGAACTCAGGTCGGGTCGGGTGTGGTTTATAATTTCACCCGACCCAAACTCGTACCCAACCCGAGTAAAACCCAAATATTTTAAAACATAAAAGCCTATATATGGATATAACGAGCACTCCGTATAATCTCATGACAAGGTGCTACTATATCAAGTATGCTTTTTATAATTATTTTTATAAAAATCCTTAAAAAAACGAGACACAAAAATAGAGAAAAAATTAGATTTAATCTTTTTAAAATATTGGGGTACGTCGAATTGATTATTGGTTAAATTACAGATTCGGGTTCGGTTTTAGGTTCGGGTTTCAAATTTAAATGTTGGATTTGGGTCGGGTCGGGTTTTTGGCTTAAAAAGTCAGGTTTTGGGTCAGGTTAGGGTTTCATATTTAAATTTTGGGTTGGATCGGGTATAGTACTATCCGCACCGAACCTGACACCATGCTTATATAAAGCTGGGGTCGGGTTATATAAAATTTGACATGAGTTGATCGGTGTCCACCCATAATGGCCGTGTTTGGGATAGATTAATTCTGCTAACGCTAAAGGCTACCATCGGACAGCTTTTCTAAAGTGCTTAGCTAACCTCTAACGCTAATGCCAAACGGGCTTAGTATCAATGTTCAAAAAGATATTCCCTCCGTCCATAAATAGATTACAATTTTTTCTCTCTCCTCTCGATAATTTTTGTTTGTTTACGCGATTTCATTAAGTATTTGATAAAATAAAATAGTCTTGTCACCTCTTGTTTTGTAGAACTTTTGACGTAGTTTTTTAGTATGTAACTTTTATATCTTATTGATATACTAATTTGTAAATAAAATAATTTTAAAAAGTAAGAAATTTTACTCCGTAACCCACAATTTGTAATCAAATTGGGGACGGAGGAGCATACCGAATCTTATTTCCACATAAATTTAACCAAAAATTAGGGAATTTCAATTCAATTACTCCTAAGTCCTAAATGAACCCTCATACTGAATGTATGGGAAAACAGCTATACAAGTGGTTTGGATTTTAATCTAAATCCAAATCTGAACGCCAACTCGTAGGCCTCTCTTCCACAGCACACCTGGATACACACACCTTCCGCCTACTACGCGACTGGTGAAACGCGCGAAGATGTCGCAGAACACGGAAGATGTGACGCCGGAGGTCACACTGGCGACCTCAATGGGTTCTTTTACCGTCAAGGTACTTCTCTTCTTCCTCTTCTTCTTCTTCTTAATCACCTTTTAAAAACTCGATACCTATGAGAACAACTTCATGAATTAAATGAAAAATTGAATAGATGTACTACAAGCACGCACCGAAAACCTGCCGGAACTTCGTCGAACTCGCTCGCCGCGGTTATTATGACAAGGTCAAGTTCCATAGGATCATCAAGGTGCTTCCTTTCTCTCCAGAACGTCTTCATATACATATCTGTACACGTATAATGCTGTGCATTAGGGCTAATGTCATGTTTAATTTTTACTTGTGCGGCTATGCTATGTGTTGTGGAGTAGGATTTCATTGTTCAAGGTGGTGACCCGACTGGTACCGGAAGAGGGGGAGAATCCATATATGGGTACTGTTCTTTCCATTTCCCATTTGGATTTATGTACTATGAGTTTTTTCTTTGTCTCTGGAGTCTGGATTCTAGATATCATTCTAAATTTATGTTTGATGGAGTCTGGATCTCTAGTCTCTAGAGCTGGGTAACTGGATTTCAAAGTTGAAAAGACAAGGCTTATGTATTTTAATGTCCTTCATAAGCACATTGTCTACATTGAAGCTTGTTTCCCCGGTATTCAGGGTATTGGATCAGTTTAGACTTTAGAATGATTTGTTTTCCTTCTGCTCGAGGCCTTGCCATGCTTAAGAGTAGTAATAATAAAAATGTTCAGGCTTTTGGCTCTCCCTTCCCTGCCGTACTGATACATTTGATGTTAATTAGTCAAGTTAGTGTATAGTAGTTCAAATTGGTCGTGGTTGGATGTGATAAAATGAAGCTTAGGAAATCCAATTATCTTTTAGTTAATGCCTAATGGAAGATGTATGAATTTTGGTGGGTTACTGTAAAATTGATTTTTTTATAATCCAATTCATGGACTTTTTTTAAAGATACATACCAAGTATTACTGTGTTTTAAATTTTTGTAAAGCAGTAAAACTGTGTTTTGTAAAGCAGTAAAACGGTGTCTATTTAAAGCAGTAAAACTGTGTTTTATAATGTTCTTAAAGGTGGCCTTCTAGGCACCCCTCTTTTTTTTTTTGAATTTTTTATTGAAAGAAGCCCAATAACGGTCTGTCCCACCTTCATGGTGACATGACATGTATGTGTAGACTGAAGTGTCTTACTATTAAATTTTACTCTCTCTTGTGAGCATATCAAATATTTGAGCACTTTAATTTTACAAACCTTCTAGGTTTCTAGGGTCAAAGTGGCCATATTTTCTAATATGTTCAATAAGATATAAGGTGTTGTTCATGTCGTATATAATGCACAGATAACTTGGTATGTTTAACAGTTGAACTATTTCACAATCTAAATGTGAAATAAATGTATATTTGAAACTTTGAACTCCAATGTTAACAATTGATGGCATAATTGTATTACTCAAATGATAAGAGAATATATAGGAACCAGTCCTAATAAACTTAGGGAAGTAACTAAATAATACGGAGTATAAGATGGATATCATTCAAATGATGTCTTAACTAAATATATTAATATTCATGTTACTACTATGCCTAATATCCCATCCAAGCTGAGTTGCATGGAATGGATGCAAAGTTTGTAAGAGAGCACTTGTAGATGTAGTAAAAGATGCAAAGACAATGTTCTGGACTGGATGCCAGGTAAACTGATAGATCCCAACTATAAGAGATATCACCGGATGAAGTAGATTTGAGAGGCTCTAACTCTAAGACTTAGGACAAAATAGCCGTCATGGTTTCCATTTTTGCTCTGTTGTCATTGTAAGAAAAATTGACATATTTCCTTTAAGCTAGAAAATATCTTTTCTTTTTTCCTTACTTTTTTTTGTCATTTGGTGATGATAACCAAAGATGAAAGAGAAAAAACCTATTTGTTTTGAAGAATTTGACAAAGATTATAGAAAAGAGGAATAAGTTATAAATTGGAGAAGAAAAGTAAGAGAAGATATGACATATAGCCCTAAATCAGAATATATGAGAATAAGAAAAGCCGTAGTTCTCATACTATGATGGGATGGGATGCTACTCTTTTCAAGAAATTTTTTTTTGGAGAAGCTTTTATTTAAGAAAACACGCCAATTTAAATATTGTACGTATTATAACATTAATTTGATTTAAACATGCAAAGGGAACAATACCTCACATGCACACTCTTATTGTCTTAGTGCCCGGGCAGCACTCCATCATAATCACTATTACCTGCATGTAGTCAAAACCAAAATCCACTACACGCTAAACAATTTTGCTGAGTGGTAGAATAAAATGAACAGTCTACATATTAAAACTTGTTTAGGGAAAATACCATTGGTAGTGAAGTCCTTTTCGCAGACAGCTTTGTAAACATATCACTTAACAATAATATTTTTAAAATCACTTTTTTCATGAACTATAAATTGAAGTTTTTAATTTTAAGCCTTTACAAGGAGACATGGACTAAGTTTAGAGTTCTGAAATTGGTAGGACCCTGGAGTGAAAATGCTAGCATAAATGAAGCAAAGAAACATGCAGTAAATGATTGAAAAGCAGTAGGTGGCAATCGATCTCTGAAAAACAGGCTGAATATGAATTCCGAAACATGCATGACTTACGTTAAATATATGGGAAACAAAGACCGAACAGGTTGACCTCTATCTCAAGTTTAGCTGTAAAGTAAGGCTTCATCAAGGAGCAAGGACTCATTCACATTTCAAATTATATTGTATTTTATATATACTTTTCAAAGTATGAATCATTTAATTCAATTAAATCATACTAATTTTCTTAAGCAGCAGTACATGCCAGGTGAAGAAACTAGATAGTATTATGCCAAAAAGCAGGCTGGGTTTTTTCATACTCACCACTCAGTCAATCCTTTGGCAGCTAATGTTCCCTGTCTATTATGGTTGTCGGCCATTGGTTGGGACCATGCTTCAATGACGTTGTTACGTATTTGCAGTCTTGTCCAAAGAGGCTAAGAAAGCAACAATACCATATATCCTGCCTAGAACCCAATGCTTTGTGGTGATATTGATTGGTCTAATTGTGATCGAATACCTCTGAATCATGACCAACTCCTAAGTTAATGTTGCAGGCCCAAATTTGATGATGAGATTCGCCCAGAATTAAAACATACTGGAGCAGGTATTATATCCATGGCTAATGCAGGGGCAAACACAAATGGAAGCCAGTTCTTCATTACACTGGCACCTGCACCATCACTGGATGGTATGTACCTTTTTTTAGATAGTTCGCCTCAACTCTTATCAATGTGACCACATTTTGGAACTCCTCTAGCAGCTCATAGTCTTGTATTTCATGTTATTTGTTCTTACAACTCTTTAGTTTGCAATATGTTTTGGCCAATACCTACAATGAACTTTCAGAGAATAGTTTCGGTTGACCATTGATTCATATAAGACCTCATTTTCCCTATAAAATGACCAAAATATCTCAAGTCCCAATATGCTATTCTGCTAAATATTCAGTACATAAAAATAATTTAGTACTCCATACATTAAAGAACTTCCTGGGTAAACTGAAAGCATATATTCAGAGTATTAAACACCACCAAAACAGTCCAAAAGTTTTAATTAGGGTTGGTGTGGTGAAGGCTGTGAAGTTTGCGTTCATAATTTGATCAGATTGAAAGTTGAGCTGATGGATGCATAGTGATTTATTTTTAGGCAAGCATACCATATTTGGAAGAGTCTGTAGAGGGATGGAAATTGTGAAGAGACTTGGCAGCGTTCAAACTGATAACACAGATAGGTAAAATTCGCTTTGTTTCATCCTTACAAATTGATATGCTCTGCATGTATCTCTTCCATTTCATCCCTTCATTGAAAGGTGAATCATTTTAAGTGCATTCATAATTGCATCTCTATAGTTTTGTTCAGACCAGACCGAGGTGAGCACCTACCCACTGCTTGCCTGAAACCTTTGACCTCCTTGCTGTAGTAACCTTAGGACCCATTTGGTTAAAATTCAGTAATCATTCTGGAGTTGGGGGTAATTTTTTTTTCTTATCAAACACGACCCAAACTCATATGGGATACCCATCTCTAGGGTAACAAACATTGCCTTTAGAAGAATTCGCAACTGCTTTTGTATTAACATGTCTGGATTGCCCCAAAATCATGGTTTCAAATGTGATTTAACAGCGTATTTGTTTTGGTCTCAAAATCATGTGTTTATATTTATGGTTTCTTTGCTTCAATCTCAATGCAGACCTGTTCATGATGTGATGATATTAAATGCAACCGTCAAAGATTGACATTTCGATGCGCCTCTAAAGAGCGGTTTAGAAGCTGAATCGTCAAGGTTTTCATTTTATATTACATCTGGACTTTGACTTCATCAGTATTTGTGCATTATTTTCCAAAGTTTGTTTTTCAAAGTAGGCATAACAGTATTAAATCATGTCAAAAACATGAAAGAGTTCATGAATGAATTGAGAACCTTTCTCCTAAAAACATGCTTTCTGTCCCTCATTTAGTTATTTTATGGCACAATCGTAGTTTCATGACTCATGTCTAACAATCATTTATTAAAGAAGATTTTTATGCTCCCTAATGAGAAAGAAAAGTGCTCGCTGAATAAAAGATGAGTGTTTAATAAAATGCGTACAATTTATTGCACACTAAAGAGAAAAAGTGTGTTTGCTTTGAGAAACTAAACCAAAGCAAAATTAAATTGTGTTTTGAGATAAATAGAATGCAATTCAGTTTGGGATTTCGGAGTCATTAGCGCACTGGAAATGCGTCAACGCCGGGGGTGTCCCAGCATAAATTAAAGTAAAACTTTTTTTTGGAACAGATGAAACAAAAAAAAAATGAAACATGACAGAGTAGCTTGGATGATATTTTTCTTGTTTCGAAGGTTGTCCACCTGACTCATAGATTCAAACGTCAAAACAAATACTCATTAACTCCTCTTAGCATATTTGTTTAGCTTAATTTTTTTTAGTCAAATTAGATAAATTTTGATCATCATTCAAATAAAAATTACATTTCATATCAATTGTTACAAAAAGCGTTCGAAAATTTATTATATTAGAATAATATTATGCAAAGTAGATTTTATTCCGTTGATGATCAAAATTTATCATGTTTGACTAAAAAAATTAACTGAACAAATACACTACGACAAAGAACACATTATTAAATGAAAGAAAGAAGGAAAGGGAAGGAAGGCTTAAGCTTGGTAAGCCTCAACTCTTCGTCCATTCAAGGGTTGCAAAGGCCTTGCATTATTCTTGCTTTCATTGTCCAGTGGTCGTTTCAGGAGTTGAACTTGATCATTTGAAATCGTCCCATACTGAAAAAATTGCATTTTTATTTTTTCCAGTCAAACCCATCAATTTATATAAATAAAGAAAAACAAATCAGGGAATATTTGATGAGCGAAGCAGGGTTAGTATTATATTAATTGTGAGTATTTTTGTAATATGAAAGAAATTATACGAGTTTTGAAAGTAAAAAAAATGTTTGGATTGATAGAAGAAGATTAGGGTGTTTGTTGACAGCGATAACTAAATGAGAGCCATCAAAACCCGAACCCTGACTGGACTTCACCAAACACTCTCAATAGAGTTCGTATGTCAGGATATATCAAAGTTTATATCTAGTGTTCGCCAAATGCACACTAAAATTAAAATAAGAAATTTACCTAAATAAGATGAGAACATGATTATTATACAAAAAAGGCTCATATGTTTTTATCTCTTAAATAAGAGTGTTAACACTGTAAAACGCTCACAATTTGACATTCTATATTGACATTTTAGTATTTTTACAGTGGTTTTTGGCATTATATTTTAGTATTATTTGACATTATTAGTCATATCTCAGTATACAAACATTGGAAATAATATTTTAATATATGAAGCATAATTTAATTTTGGTTAGATATTTCTTTCAAAATTAAATTCACAAAGAATTCAGATAAAATAAAAAAAAATGTGGATATACCTTTCCAATGACAATCCATGTAACATCTTCAGTGCATGGGGGTGTGGTCAAAGAGCCTTTGTAAGTGTAATACCTATTGGTATTGGTTAATTTTCTTAGCTCATTTTGAAGCCCATTAATGTCCCCCAATGCAACTTCAGGTGGATCTTGGCCTAGTAGCTTCATAGGTAGCCCACTCAATTCTTGCTCTACCTGATCCATTATCAATTAACCAAAAACATAAATTAAAAAAAATGATTTTTAAATTGGCAATCTCTTAACCATACCAAACAAAATATTTGGGTTTGAATTTGAAATAATAATTCAATTCAATCCAATTTAATTTCATAAAATTTCATTTCCAAATCCTGTGTACCAAACGAAGCCTAAGACTCGCTTCGTACATAGAATTTAACTCTTCAATTCTAATTTTGCAGTTTGGTAGCACAAAAATATGTAGATTTAAAATTGGTAGTGCGAAGAATGAAATGGAATCGGAGAATTAAACTCCATCCAATTTAATTACATAGAATATCAATTCCATTTCAATTCTAATTCCGTGTACCAAATTGATCCTAAATGTCCCAGATAGACAAAATTGGTAGGAATGTCAATAGAATCGCGTCGAAAAACATCAATTCTAGTTTATTTTAGCGTTGGTTACCGTTGCAATAAGAGGGTCACGTTGGCCGGACCGCAATATAATTGAGACCACAGCGACAGTATAATTGGGAGTGTTGTAAACAAGGTGAACCTCAGCAACAAACCTGTAGTTTTGATATATCAAATTTTTATAATATTTATTTTTTTAAAAGTATATTTAACTCATAGTCGAATGGAGCACAAAAGTTAAACTAGGACGATAATTTTAAGACGAAAGAAGCATTAAACACACCGGAATATCACATTTTTTTACAATCACATTGGTGATCGAGAAAAATCAAATGCCAAATTTACTTTAAAATGGAAGGATTACAAGTAGTGAGCTTCCATCTTTGTGAAATTAAAGGGCAACACATACTTATTGACATATTGTTATTAGTTTTACAGAAAATAAAAAGGCTAAATGGCAATCTTAGTCTATTGCTAAATTGGACTAACTATTCGTCACCTAACAAAAAAAATTATATACTTTTTGTTAAATGACGACAAAACGAATCAATTATAAACTAAAACACTTAAGAAATGATCACGCGGTTGAGACCCGAGATTTTCATGTAAAAAATGAGCTATTTCAAGATAAATAAGTCAAATTTCTCAAATTATTATCAAAGTAACGACTTGTAAGAGACGTGTAGAATTTGCCAAAATGGCCAAAAATGCAAATTTAACCAAAAAAGTAAAAACTTACGAAACCCTGAAGACTTGGTGCTCAGAAGGGGAATGCCAATGCAATTGTTTCAAGCTGTATTTTGTACCATTCAACTTCAACACTCCTCCTCCTTCTCCACCATAACTTAGCTGCACACCATTTATTTATTTTTTTACTTATAAACAGCTTATAAGAACACAAAAACACGTCATCCGCCTGACTTATAAGGTAAAAATAACTTATAAACAATTTTAACTTAACTCATAAGCGCGGAGAAACACTGCAGTTAGCCTGATAAATTACATAGTATGATGATGATGATGATGATGATGATGATGATGATGATGATGATGATGATGATGATGATGATGATGATGATGATGATGATGATGATGATGATGATGATGATGATGATGATGATGATGATGATGATGATAATAATAATAATAATAATAATAATAATAATAATATGATTCCAAAATGATCGGAAACAAAAAAAAGAGACCTGAACGTTGTAGCCATTGTTAACCAAAGTGGCATTCACTGAGTCCTGGAATTGGATATCCAAAGCCTTCAAATTCGGATTTACGGGCGTGAGTCGGGCGGCAAGGTTAACCGGCGACTGCGCTCGACCGGTAGAGCAAAGGACGTAGTCCGGGCTTAAGGATGCCCACCGGTCCGGTCCGGTTGATCCAGAGTAACTGAATGGTGAAGATGTAGTGGGTTGGATAATGATGAGGAGCATACAAAGAATACCCACCCCTAGTACCAAATCCATATTGAGAAATTCTTTTTCCCAAATCACCCCTCCACTACTTTTCTATTCTACAATCTACACTCTCACTAGCACAAACTTCACCCATATATACTACCTCCCATCCCTCTCCATATACAGAGTATTTAAGGGGCTGTTTGGCAACTTCTGAATAGGTAAGTGCTGAACCAGTAAGAGGTCTGAACCATTAAGTGCTGAACCAGTAAGAGGTCTGAACCATTAAGAGCTAGTATATTGCTTAACTATTCAGAGGCAAATGTCTGATCAATTCAGATAAGAGCTCTTAACCATTCAGACTCTATATAATACTTAACCATTCAGAGGCAAATCTCTTAATCATTCAGACATCTGAACCATTAAGAGACTGAAACAAACAGTCTGAACCATTAAGTGCTGAATCATTCAGACATCTGAACCATTAAGAGGCTGAAACAAACAGCCCCTAAGTTAGTTTAATTTTTCCGGTCACAAGAAATAAATTTTAAATCTCAATTAAACAAAATTTGTGCTCGTAAAATATATTAGTGTAAACATATTTACAAGTAGCAAATCGACGAATAGGGGAGGGAGGGAGGGGGGTGCTGTGGTGGGGTGGGCGGGTAGGGGCAGGGGTTGGGATCTCGGAAGTAGAAATTATCAATTTTACGAATGCTGCACTGTAAGGGCCCCGTGTCATAATATGACCCATGGTCAAAAGAACCATTTTGTTTCACACAATATATTATGTTTACAACTTTTTGGAATTGATAGTGCAAAAAATGAATTGAAATTGGCAGAATTAAATTCTATGGAATTGAATCCCATGGAATTTCAATTCCAATTCAATTCCAATTCCATCGATTCCGTAAACCAAACGGACCCTTAAAATTTTATTTCATTTTATGAATATGAAGTTCAAATTTGGAGTAATTGATTATTCATTTTAATAGGGATATAACATTAATATCTTTCGATTGGATTTTTTACTTTTTGGGAAATTCACTGTAGGACTAAAAGCTAGTAACTTATAGATCGCAATTTCACAAAATAATCGAGGCCATTTCGTAGTTCATCCAATTGAACAAAACTTAACGCAATTTATAGGTTTAAAACATGTTAAACAGTTAGTTACTATTTATTCCTTTTTATAGTACTCCGTATTTACTAGGGTTAACCAACTTTATTTTCAATTGATTGTAGATATAAAATTAAAAAAATAAAATTTATATATTTAAAAACTACATCAGAAGTTCTATAAAACAAGCGGTGATAAGACTATATTATTTTACGAAATAACAAACGAAAATAGGTAAAGAAAATGATAAAAGTTTAACCGTGTGATTTATAACTGGGAAGAATATTTTAAGACTATATTTTTTTCACCAAATAACTTATTTTTAACTTGTAAAATCTAAATTTTTTCTTTATTTTTAAAATTTAATTAATTAATTTTAATTTCTTATTTAGTTATAATAAGTGAATTAACAATAAAAAAATTATCTAATAATTAAACATGTGTTTATATAAAATATACTCTCTCCGTCCCATTTTAAATCGCCTGTTTGCCTTTTTTCTCCGTTCCAAAATAAGTTGCCTGTTAGTTGTTTTCGTAAACTTTTAAAAATAAAATACATAAACTGCCCCTAAAATAAGTCACGCTTCTTCACCTTATCTTCTCATCCATCATCACCCCTCTTAAAAAGTAATGTCATTTTCGGAAAATCAACTCTATTTTTTATTTTCCTTAAATATGCCCAAAAGTCAAAACAGGCGATTTAAATTGGGACGGAGGGAGTATATAACATATAATAAAAAATTTATCTTATAAATAAAAAAATAATTAAAATATCTAAAAGTTGAGATTTTAAATTGGAGTTAAACATAGTATAAGTTGTACTCCGTATTTCATTGTTGGCTCACGTTCATAAATTAAGCGGATCAAAATTGTTTATAAGTTATTTTTTATTTATAAATTAGCTGATGACATGTTTTTGTGTGTTTATAAGCAGCTTATAAACTATAAAAAATAAGTAGTTCTTACATACGGAATACTTATTTTCTAACCAGTTTGTTTGAAAACTTTGTTCTGACCAAATTATTTACAAAACTATTTAACTTGATTTATGAATATATTCTAAATGACTTATTTATTATTTAAACCATTTTACTTCCATAAAAGAATATTTAACTTATAAACAATTTTTTAATTAAAAAACTTATCATTAACAAGTCAATAAGCACTATAACAGAAAAACACTCCAAAATACACAATTTTTTTACTTAGAAGTCAAAAGTCATATTTACTCCAATGAAAAGTCTTTTCCGGAATGATATGATATAAATTTGTGCTCCAATAATGTATATTTGAAGCTAGGTAGTCTGGTACAAGTCTTTTCATGAGAACCATGTTAGTAACCTGTCAAGCCCACGATTCTTGTATGTTTATTTTGATAAACCTTTTTTTTTTGTTATGAAAATAAATTACATTTTGGCGGACCAGACATATATATAATGTATGCTCACTATTCACAGGGTCAAACTTCATCACTTTCTTTATCTATTTTCGTTAGCATTTTGATAAAATAAAGTACTATTGTCACTACTAGTTTTGTAGATCTTTTGATGTAGTATTTTAATATGTACTCCGTAATTTTTATTTTTTAACTCTATACCATTTGTCATATAAAAAATGATTTGAAAATAATTTCAGTCAAACATCGTAAACCGAAACAGGCGTTATAAAATGGGACGGATGGAGTAATAATAAAATAGGATGGAGTAATAATTTCAGTAAAACAAAATGGGACGGATGGAGTAATAATTTCAGTCAAACATCGTAAACCGAAACAGGCGTTATAAAACAAGCGTTAAATAAAAATAATTTATACTCCCTAGGTGTGAATTTAATCTTGTCATTTGAATTTTTTCTAAATAAAATTTGTATTTTCTGACCTCGAGTTGAAGATGAAAAATACATTGTGTTCTGGTATAAATATAATACCAATGGTTCTATTTTGAAACATAGCTTTGAAATATTAACTATTTATAAAATATACTCCGATACTAATGGTCTAAATGGTGGGTATTAATGGTCAAAATGTTACATTGGTGACCGTCAAAAGTAAAATGAAAAGATTAAACTCAGACGGATGGAATAGCTAGTGCAGATTGTGTATTTATAGAGCATGAGAGTGCCAAAGAAGTCCTTCAGAACATTTAATTCAGTCTTTTTTGTCTTTGCCATGCATTCCTCAATATTAGTATGTACCAATTTTTAATATTTTTAATGCTTATATTTAAAACAATTTTGTTTCAATGTCTTTATTTGCATTAAAAATTTAAATTTTATTCTTCATTTGCTGTGCCAAAATAATGACCGTGCAACACACGAATCAGAAAACTAGTTAATTCAATGACTATTACGAGTATAAAGTATATTGTACCGTCTCAAATAAAGTTGTCACTTGCTTTTTCACAGAACTTGAGAGAAAACGAAATTATTTGATTAAGATTGATGCAAAGGGAGATAAAAAGGAATTAAAACTTTATTTTCAAACATCCAATAAAGAAAAGTAAGAAATTTATTTTGGGACGACTATTTTTTTTCTAGCCTCCACCTCTATTCAATTTAATGTTCCTAGTNAACAATAGTCATTAAAAAGGTAGGCCAGAGCATAGATTAAAATGTGAAACAAAAATGAGCCAAAGGTACTTGCAAGAAATGTAGTTAAAAATGAGAATCCAATTAGAATAGGAGGCCATGCTAATTACCCTAAATTTTTATATTTTACAAAGGACCCACTGCATCATTAAGGTGATGTTAAAATGAATGACTGGCACACAAAAAAAAAACCCCATCAGGCCTCAACACTCATCACTACTTCCATAGAACCAAATCTAATTGTACCTCTAAATCTAACAAGGGTACCCCATAAAGGCAGAAATTACCATTATACACATGTTCAATCTGAACCCAGATCCTACAACAACACTAAATGCCAATGGGGGGACATGAATGTTCAATCAGTGATCACCTGGTTCATCAAGTCTTCTTGTTTTCAGAAGACAAGAGACTTTGTCCATTGGCCTTGATTGATCCTAGAGAGCTACCTTTGGAACTACTGTCGGTTGTGCTCCTCTGGTCTGGAACATCAACTGTGTCTTCCAAAACAGTCTTTTCCTCCTCTGCTGCCTGCTGTAACATTTCTATACGTTTCAACGATGGCACGTCTCCCTTGCAGTACCGGGCCCACATGCTCCTGTACGACTCCTCAAGATTCAGGGTGAATTTTGACCCATCACAGAGAGGAGATTTCAGCATACGATTCCGAAGACTCATTCTCAGCTTTGAGAGGGCGGTTAGATCGGTTGCCAACTGAATTGCCAACTCAACATATTCGTCCTCGTTCTTGGCAACCAAGTTTTTACACCCTGAAGTAAAAATAATCTATCAAAGCAAGAACATATTCTAAATGTAGTCTTACTTTGAATGGCTGAAAAATGTCAAAGCAAGCCATGGCATATTGCAAAACAGAAAAGAAAGCACTTACCAACTGCGTTGAGGAGACTCACACCAACATTATGTGCATGTACAGACCCTCGCATAGTGACACAGGGAACTCCCATGAATAGAGATTCACATGTAGTGGTTGTTCCCGCATAGGGAAAAGTGTCCAAGCTGCGTAAATATGTATTCATAATCAGTTATAGGTAATTTTTTATATCGCATGTTCAAAGCATGAAAAAGAAATCGAATTCCCAAATTTGTTACTGTTAGAGTATCCCACAACGTAAAATTGAGGAGAAAATAATGGGTTTATAAGCTATTGAGTTAAACTAGTAATCGATTGAATTCAATCTTTTAATTTGGTTCAGCCCAAGTGTCTTATGGCCCAAACCAGTACACCATCCTAAATTCTATTAGTTCCAATAGAAGATATTAATAAATAATACCCCCTCCGTCTAAAAAGAGACTCCTAGTTACTAATCAAATGTCATACTAACTCTACTTTCTTTATACATTTCATTGATCATTTGGTAAAATAAAATAACCTTGTCACCACTTGTTTTGTAAAATGTTTGATGTAGTTTTTTGAAATATAATTTTTATTTTTTAATTCTACACCAATTTTTACTTATATTGATTTTAAAATAACTTCAGTCAAACATCGTAAACCGAACAAGAGCCTTGTTTTGGGATGGAGGGAGTAATAGTTACCTGATGTCCATGAGAGAGTATGCTTGCATATGGTCATGGTTAAGAAGAATTAGAGGTAAGAGATCAACCCGTTGTGGGTCCAGGCCCAACTGCTCCATTGTTGAAAGAAAACCTTGTCGTACACTATCACAACAGAAAGGCTTGCACTTCACAATCAATCTTGAATTGGGAACTGCACATAGGATCCTTGACCACACTTGCAATACTTTTGGCGTTATCTGTAATTTTTTTTGAAGATGATTTAAGCAAACAATGCCATACACGTAAGATGCTATGCAATGAAATGCCGAAAGCACGTGACAATTACCTTAGCGAGGTTGTTAAAGCTACCAAAGGTGACGAAGCCATTGGACAGGGCGGGAGCTGGGGATATGTGGCCCACTTCAGGGGATGGTGTATAACAAAGAAAGCACTCTGGCAACCGAACTAATTCCTCGACATGTCTGTTAGTTAAAACATCCACAATGTAAAAGGTTTAGATGTCTAGACCTACATCAACTTAAATAAAGCATATTAGAACCTATTGAGAAGTTATACTATCTGTCACATACTTTTGTTTTGTATCCGGAGGGTCAGCAAGAGCATCAGTAATTCTGTAGTCAATGGTAGGCAAACCTGTAGTATTTGGGTAGCCAATCCAAGTTACCTATAATTAGAGTAGCAAGTCAAATAAAACTAGTTCCAATTTTGATAGATACTAGGACATGGGAAAATCAATCATGCAACTAGGCACAGCTCTATCTATTACTCCTTGAACGGATTTAGTTGTCCACATTAAAAATACGGCATACATAAGGAGTGGAATATCAAATATGCCCTTCAAATGGGTTTACCATTCATTGATATCAACAATGTATAGGCGATCTAGAAGGTCCGTCATATTTTTTTTTACTAAATATGAGTAGACAACTAATTCCTGGAAAAAACGAGAAAGTGGACAACTAAATCCGAACAGAGTATATTGCATCCAAATTGTCACAAGTAATAACCTTGGAAAATCCATATCCTAATAATAATTCACCAAATTAAAAATAAAAAAATAACACAAACACCTGAAGTAACCAAGTTATTCACTTATACGCACACCAATCTTACCTGAACAGGGGCAGGTCGGCATGCCATCATTCCCAACTTATTGTTTGCAGTATGGCCAGTGAGTTCTACCAAGATGTCAATCTTATCTTCTCTAATCATGCTAGCAACTTTTTTCTCATCAATCCCATAGATATCTTTCCAGATGCCACCTTTTTTCAAGACACTATCTCGAAATTTGTTGGTTTTTGCATCTGCCTGAAACATCATAGAATCACAGTGAGTAAAGAAAGTTTATTCACTACAAACAAAAACATTTGGCTTAACTATACAAGTGAATTTACTACTGCAATACAACAGTACCTTAACAACAGCTGAATAGACGACTAATTTATAATTTGCATAGTCATGATACGTGAGGGGAGCCTCGATGAAATAAGAAACGGAATGAGTAAAAAAATCTGGAGACACATATCCAATTATTAATGGTCTTTCTGGATCTTTTAGATTATCCCATGAAGTATATTGTGGATACAATCGCATGAAGTGCCTGCCCCAGTCTCTGCATTTACAATCATTAAGTGAAAAAAAGGTATAACAAGAATTCAATTAGATGTGAATGCATACATTCTCAAGTCTACATGTGTAATCACTAATCAGCAAGAGTATATACAGTTGGATTAGCTCATTTAAATAAAGTTTGAAATTCCAAATTATTCTACAGCATAAACGTGAGGAGAAATGGGGGCTCAGCAGCTTACAATCTAGCACAGAATAACACATTTCATTAGTAGTTCAAATTACCTGTGAGCCTCAAATAATGTAGTGTCAGTTCCCTCGTGTATGTAGTTCATTGCAAGCAATCGATTCTGCAGAGAAAGACCAATTTATATGAGAAAAAATAAGTAAACACATTACTTAGAAATCAGGCATTCAGGCCTCAACCCTCCTACCCCTAAACATGCGCAAAACCTAAACACTTCCATAAAATACCCAAATAATGGTTGATGCCATCAAAACACAGATTTGCAATTAAGTGAAAAAAGTGAGGCCACATTCCAACGGTTAATAGCATAACGCATCTGCACATACATGAACAAAAATTATTGTAAAAATTCCTCATCTAGCCTCAGTGAATCTCTGTTCAAGTGTCATGGTTTATTTCAGTGACACGGTCTTTTCTTTCATTCCGGAAATAGCCTCTCTATCGTTTAAACATAGGAGTTAGGCTACATACATCCGACCCCCCCCCAGAGCCTTGAGGCACTGGGGTAATGTTGTTGTTGTTGGTCTTTTCCCTCATCTTAGGCTCCGCCTAACTCAATTACCATCTGACCAAAACCAAATTGATCTCGGCCTAGACGAGCGTGGGTGCCTATAATTTCTCAGTTTTTTCACCATCGATATAATTTATAATTGGCACTTTCCTGTGCATTCTCCTTACAACTGCTAATAGATCAGAAATATGGTGTTATTTGATCAGAACCATTATACCCAGAAAATCAGTATTAAAAAGAACACTACCTGCCCGGCATTTCGTGAATCAGGATCTATCTTTAGGCACTGCTCATAAGCTTCAATGGAAAGAGATATGTTCCCTGCATCTCTGAACAGAACTCCTGTGTGCACAAAAGATCATTAATTATATCCAAATTCGGTTAATACAGCTCAATATAGCTTCCCTTAATTATTAAATACGAGTAGTAAATTTTAACGACTACTACTAACTTAAATATTGCAAAAAATTAACTAACTTCACTCAAGCTGAAAGTCCTTAGCGATTTGGGGCAGGGGGTAATGTCTTTTCTAGTAACAATCAACAATTAACACTCCATAATAGCAGGCATGAAGAAATGTTGATCATAAAAAGAAAAAGGGCGGAAAACCCATATAGAGAGGCAGAAAGAAGATATACCTAGATTGTTATATGCTTCTGCATAGGTAGGGTTTGCGACAATAGCTTTCTGAATCAAGCACTGGGCCACATCCATTTTACCCTGTTAAAAACCATCAATGCCATTGACTGCCGCCTGAGCCGTGTCAAAATAGAACTAATTAGGAATCGATGTTTTACCTGGACAGTATATACTACACCAAGATTATTTAGCGACTGAGAAAAATTTGGTTTGATTGACAAAGCCTTCTGCAAACATTGAAAGAGAAAAAAGTCATACAAAGTAAGATGTGCTTTCCAATAGGTGTACAAAAGATAGAGAACTGCCTGATAGCATTCCACTGCCTTATCAATGTTGTCCTGATCCTTGTATATCACTCCCAAATTGTTACATGCCTCTGCACACTGAGGATTAAAGTGGAAGGCCAGTTCATAGAACACAATTGCCTGAAAAGGGATTGATAGGCTTAGTAACCTCATTATGATGCTAATAAAGACATATTCCTACTTTTCTCAACAAATAAGTATAAATATAACCTCTCTACTTTCAAGTAGGTCTATGGTCGGCATACACACACCCTTCCCAGAACCTACTCTTGTGGGGTTCAACAGTGGGATGGAAAAATTACATTGAAAATTGTACATGCAATTCTTTGAACATTACAGATGCATGCATCAAGCTCCACAAACACTTTGGTTCTCTTTATGTCTACAGAGCCTATATTAGCATAAGTCAATTTTTGTGTCCATCAAGAATCCATCTGGGTTGGTAGAGAAACTCCAAGGTGGAGTTACTCCACCAGATCCAAATCCCAAAAGTGATAACCCCGCAATCAAATGGCTCACAACCCAATATATTTCTGTGATCAACTTTTTTGCATTGAAGGCAGGAATTTCTTGAAATTTTACACCATGTTGAGATTGTTGACAGAACGGATGCCGGTCGCTTCCACACAACGGTCATGTTAAGACATTCCATGTGTATATGCATATTGTACACCCACACATAAATACACAGATAAGGAAGTTTATAGATTTCCTCACCCTTATTGTTATATTCCACAAGAGTATATAAGGGTAAAGTTTGAAAATTACCATGTCAAAATTCAGCAGTTCCCCATATGCAACTCCTAAATTATACATGGCATCAGCATAGTGCCAATTGTAGTACAAAGCTTTCTTGTAATAAGCGACACCTTGATCAATGTCCCCCTCCAGTTTAACCTGTGGAAGAGATATATCAGGAAGAGGTATTAAATGTGTTTAAACTTGCTAACAAAGACCTCAATCCATACTAATTCTGTTCTAACACGCAGCAGAAAGGTTTCCCCAAATTGAAAAGTGTTGCACTAATTAATATCTTAGATACTATTGGAAGACCTAAAGTTTTTTCAGTATTTCCCATGTCGTGAAGTCTTTGTTATGCCCCGGTATGCCTAGGTGTGTGTGCATCTGCATGTATTAGACACACACACACACACATGTGATGTGTGCCTTGTGTGGTGAGAAATCAATACGTGAAATAGTCTTGGTTATTCAACATGGAGCTTCCTTGGAGCCTAAGATTTCTTTTTCTGCAGTAAGTATCTGAGCGGTGAACCATCAATGCCGTTCAATTTTTGTTTTCAAATGAAACACCATAAGTTGCTTTTCTCACAAAACTTGAGGATACACCTCATCCATAAGGTCGCCGCAACCCATCTCTAAGGTCACAAGCTGCCCAAGCTTCGGAACTAGTCAACACACACCTGCATGTGGGATTCTTCCCAGTGACAATTTACAGCCAAAACTCTCAGATCTTGTCTCTTCCAAGAAACCTGCTGGGAAATTCCCATATTTTTTCGACTTTCGAAAACTGTGACCAATGAAGATGTTATTAGCATTGAAGAGAATGAAGCTGCTAGTGCTAGGTCTACGTCCCAAATTTGTCTGGCAATCCCTGTATCACTAGTATTAAGTTAATAGGGTCGACAGTTCAGATTATCAAGATTGGACCTGTTGTTTAGTTATGAGCCAAGGTGCTGAGAATAGTTTGACTACAAGAACAAATGAATATTTTTTATTAAGGAGCAAATGAAATTAAAATTATAATATAATCTTAGCAGGTAAAGGTCTTATTGTGTAGCTTATTGTTGCAATCTCTATCAAAAGATTCAATTCCCTGTTCCACTTATTTAAAATGACATCCCACAGTATTCTGTTGTTCATAGCTTGATCTCTTAATTATATGTTTAACCTATAAAAATCGGGGAATGGGAGTTGAGATATTCTTAAGGAAGATTTAATGGTTGATGGCATATGCCTACTGATGGATCACTCGAACAACTGGGCAAAAAATCAATCTTGAGTGGTTTTTACACTTTCCAGACTTGCGCCGGAATTTAAAGAAATCTGAGCTAAACTACTGAGTGAAGAAAGTAGAGACAGTTTCAAATACTACAGAAGTGTTGAAACATATCCTTCAACTGGTTAGTAGAGCTCCTAGCAGATCAATCTCGTTAATTCAGGGCTGGTTTCCAAATCTCATTTCAGTCACTAGAAAGATCAAGAGTTATGCTACATGTCTGCAATTTCTGCAATAAATGTGGTCATGTGCGAGAACAATGTTGGGACTTCCAAGAAAACTTGTGGTTTTTGTAGTAAACAAACGCATGAGCGGTCGTGTACAAGAACAATGTTCAGACTTGCAAAAAACAAACTGTGGTTTTTGTAGTAAACAAAAGCATAAGCAAAATCATGCAAGAGCTTGCATGAACTATCATTCACAGCAAATATACCTCAAAGTGACTAAAATTCTCAGAGCTCCTTCTCCTTGAGACTGATTACTGATATGACTTCTTTGAGCATTGAAGCTCATTATTCAGTTCCTTCCTTACAATTGAATGTCATATGCATTTGACTCAAATTAGGTCACAAACTCAGCCAGTACAAAAGACGATTGGTTCAGTATTTG